TTTTTTTTTGTTCTTGGAATTATTTGTGACAGCTTAACGCGAAACTCGCGCGAGTTTTTGAGAAACGCAAATTAAAGGAGAAGGTGCTTGAAGAACTGCTGAAATGTTTTAGACTGGCACGTCGAAGATTACAGTGTTTAAGGGCTGAAGATTTTCGTTGAAGATAAGACTTCGTTCCAGAAACTGAGGCTGGGTTTCAAGTAGGAAGAGTTCGACTTGAAAGTTTTTGGAGATTTAACAATTTATTATTAAAAAAGATGTAACCAACATTAAACACTCATTGAGTAATAGATGATCACCTTAAGGCTTCGGAAACAGAAACGGATTTTTATTGGCTAAATATAATACGCTTGGTACGACTGGGTCTTCGCAATCAGAGGAGCAGCAAAGGTTTTGCAAGAGGATGTGTTCAATACTTCGAGGGGAAGATGTTTTTCCGTAAGGGGTCTCGATTTTAATTTGGCACAAGTTCTGTAGTTTAAGAGAGGATTCCTGTCCCTCTTCTTAATAATTTCATGGGCTCCGCAATTGTAAAGCTGCGAAGGAATTGGTGTTAGTAATTATACAGCTGTGGCTGGATGTTCGAAAATCGTTTGAGGTATATTAGAAGCAGAAGGAATTATTTGGAAATAGGATTTATAACCTGCTCAAAGTCGTTTCACGGCTTACTGGTACTACAGATTTAATTATGTTTTGTTCAACATAATGGTGTTTTGTAATCATTAGCAGGTGTAACACAACTTTTCACGCACTGAGTATTTTACCTACAGTTAGCTAACTTGGGTGGATTTTAGCCACCTACCTATTTTGCCTTGTCATTGTATTCTCTGTAGTATCGTTGCTTGATATTTCCCATTTTAGTGTCGAAAGTAAAAGTGAAGCCGAAACGGATGTTTCTTACTAATGGTCCTAAAGTAGACAGCAATGAAAAGAAGCGTGGGAGACCTTCTTTGCTTGGAAAAGAATTAGATCTTGCTCTTTTAAATCATTTGATTCAAGTTAGTTTTTCTCTCTGCAGTTTCACTGGATAGTTATGAGCGTTAGTCGTTGAAAGTTTTGCGTCAGAATACATGCTTTTTACTGTACTAGGCTGTTCAACATGTATCCGCCGCTCCTAAGGATGTTTAAATGCAGTGACTAAGTCAGAGCTGATCAATATGTTCTCCTCTGCTGACTTCAGTGATTCCTAATTTTCTTCATAATATTCATAGCAAAGCGCTTGTTCTTTTAGCTGTACTTTTTAGCGTCTTGCATCTGCACTTTCTATTTTTTAACCATTACTCGAAACTGCTGCAGTCGTTTCTGTAGCCAACTAATTTAATTTTAGTAGTAACCAATACAGTCATGAAAAATTTCTTTGTCTTAAAACTAAAAGTATCTTGAGGAAGAACTGCTGTATCTGTTGCGAGTCGGCTGCTGCTATACAGGTTTAATAACATTTACAATTTATTTGTTTTCAGCTGAAAGTTTGCTTGGCTTTTGAAGAAGTAGTATTATTCAGAGGAAAAAATAATTGTATAAGGTTGAAGCTGTTAGGGGATAAGGTAATAAAATAAATGGACCAACGCAACGTGGCCTTCTGGCCTGTATAGCCCACTATTTTCAGAATTGTTTTGTTCGGAATATTTACTTTTGCGCGGTATTGTTTTACGTCATTATCTTTTGTTTGGATAATAGCAATCATTCACGAATTGTATGCTAAAGGAACGTCGGGTGGAAGCGCCGGCTCTTATCATAGGGTTTGAAAACAGGGCGATGTTTGAAATGGGCATTCTTTTGTTTCATCTTTCGAACCAAATTAGAGCAAGAACATTGAAAGAAGTGTGTGAATGCAAGCGTTCGTTTAAGATGATGAGCTTAAAAGGCTGTCGTGACTGACTTGATGCGGTTCGTATCGGCTTCAAACGAGTTTTTCGCTTGCGTTTTTGTATTTTAAGAACCAATTCTGCACAAGTAGTTCTTTTAGGTTTAAACGTTTGTCTGACTTGTTCAAGTTGGTTCAAAACAGAACTGAATGTAATTTTGTTTTTCAATGACTTCATGAGACCGCCATATATCAGACGACTTTCAGCGATTTTTATAGTTTTTTCAGGAGAATGTTGTTGTAAAAAAATGCCTTTTGTCTGTGGGTATCACTGGTCTAGGATTTCACTATTTGTCAAAGATAGTTTGCAGGGATGGAAGAATTGCAGTGACAAATCATTCGACGCTTTGTCATCTGAAGGAGGGTAGAGGTAGTCAGGACTGTGTTGTACGTGACCTCATAGATCTTATCGTTACGGTTACGAGCATATTGCATCTAGTTGTGCTTTTTTAGGGTTCTTGTCCTGTACTTTGCTTAAACTTCACATTGTTTTAACGTGCTTCTCGAGTTTGTACGTGTGGCTAAAAGTGAATGGAATTTACAAGAACTCACCATTCTTTGGTTCGCGCATCAAAAAAGGGTTTTTCAAAAGGTTGTAGTCAAAAAACTTATGATATGTAGTTTTTTGGTGGTGAGTACAGCAGAACATCTTTAGTCATAGTGAGGATGAGTTTGCTTGCAGTAACGGAGAAGTGTTGAACAGCTTGGAAGTTTGCATGGTTGCTACAGTCTACTGTGTCTTTTTAATTTTCTGTCTGGGGTATAGTCTTTGCAGTCTTTTAACTGGTTCTATCTGTCCTCTGTATTTTTCAGGTCAAACCAAATATTTGTGATGGTAATTTGAATGTCCCACAAACGCTTAGAGTTGCTAAGGAGTTTTTACAATCGAAAGAACCTAGTGTTTTAGCCGAATTTGGTGGCAACATTAAGTTAAGTTACTCTTGGGGGAGTAGTTTACTTAAGAGAATGACAGAGAAAGAAGCTGAAGTAGAATCTGAAAATAAAAGTGATAATTCCTCTTCGCAAGAACCAGGACCTTGTGATGATACTGGTGAGATTTCACTTCCATTTTTTA